TTCTCTTTTTTGTTTTATTCTAATCAATAATATAAAGTCATTTGAATAATTATTTTTATTAATGAGAATGAATAAATATCTATCCGTTTTTACTCAATTTTATAATTTATTTTTGTATATGGTATTTATCATGTTTATTTTTCTATTCACTTTCTTATATGTTTCAAGACCAAAAAATAGAATATTAATCTTCTATACATAATATATATATATATGTATATATAAATAATAAAAAAAAAAAAAAGTTCAAATTTTTTCTTTAATATGATCAAGATAAATATACATGTTTTTGACATTCATAAATACGACGAACATCATTACGAAAATTAACATTAAAAAATGAATATATTATTGGATTACACTAGAAAAACAAAAAAAAAATAATGTACTTATAAAATTATTGTTATGTTGTTTTATACTTACTGCACTATTAATGTAATAGAGTAAAAATAAAACTTCACGATATTCATTTGGTTTTATATTGAATAATGTAATTATAATAGATGGTAAATACATAAGAATAAAAGTTGCTGTAACAATAAATAATGTTAATGTTGTTCGAATATTTGCTAAATGTTCTTGTCTTTGTTGTCGTTCAAATATACGTTGAGTTTCTCTATCAAATCCTGATGTACGACGTTTTGATGAAACAGAATTTCTTCCTGTTGGATCAATCGATGATGATGTTGTTGATAATGAACGTTGATTATGTATATTAACTATAGGTGATGGAGTTGAATTTAATTGTTGATTTATACTTGATGGATCTTCAATAATACAACAATCACCAGTTATTTGCGATGTCACTATTCAAAAAAGCAATTTCCGGACTATTTATTACTGTTTATAATAAATAAAAGACAAACATAAGATTCAACTGAATCAGATATCGAGTTTTCTTTTTTATAAGAACATTATAAATGAGAGTTAAACTATAAAATATTCAACAAATCTTATCTATGCTTATAAATTATAAAAAAACAAAAAAAGATGAATCCGTTTCTTTCATTGTTTTTTTTTGATACTATATTTAAATAAAATACTTACTAAATGATACTTTTCGTTGATTAACAAATGCTTCAGATGGTTGTTGTTGTCGAATAGATAATGTATTACTTGGTTTTCTTACAATTGGTGGTTGAAGTAAAACTTTTGTTTGTGATGTATTTCCTTGTAAATCACTATCATTTGAACAAGATGATATTATTGTTTTTTGTTTAGGTACAGTTAAATATGTTAAATTAGATGATGTTATTAATTTTGTTTGTGATAAATTATTATTCAATGTTAATAATTTAGATGTTTGATCAAATGAATCTTCAGTTGATGTTGATGGTCGACTTGTTGATGAATGTTCCATTCCACAATAACTAACAGCTGCTATTGAATTAATTCTTGAACGTATTAAATTTGTTGATGATGGATCATCCCATATTCCACTAGTTAAATATGTCATTGATGTCATTGATGTAGCTGAATAACGTTTTTCACATGTTGAATTTATTTCTAAACTAATATTTTCAGGATTTTTTTTATTTATATAATATGTTTGTTTATGATTAAAATATTTAATTTTATTTTGATTATTTAATGTTCGATGTAAAATTGATTGTCGAGATATTTTTCTATGTACTTTATTACAACAATAACAACATATATATGTTAATGATAAATTTTGATTAATTTCTTCATGTTCTGTTTCAGTATTTGTTAAATAAGAATGAAGAATTTTTCTATATGTAGAAAATCTTTTTGAACGTGTACGACGACGTTGATAAACAGCATTATATATAAATGAATATAAGATTAATACAATTATAATACATATAGCAAATAATGTACAATGAAATATTCTATATGCATATAAAAAATTTGATAAATCAAGACCTTAGTAAAAAAAAAAACAGATTTTTTTTTTTAATAGAAAAAAACAAAACTTCATTTTTATTTCATTTAACTTACGTAAACTAAATCTTGGACTACATTTAACATGTGTTGCATTAACAATTATAAATGGTAATATATATACACTTGTTTTAATATTTTCAACATGTGTATAAACTGGTAAATCATATTCATCATAAGTTTCAATTGGTAATTGTTCTGAATGATTATTATGAATACGTAATATATGATCGATTGTTGAATATTCACTCATTGGTATTATAGCTAGAAAGAAAAAACAAAAAATTTTTCTATTTTGTTTTTTTTTTTATTTATTTGAAATAAAAAAAAAAAAGAAAAATTTTTACCTAATAAAGTTGATAAAATACCACATATAATAACAATAGCACGTGCACGATGAATAGTTATTATTTTATATAATGGCCAACATATACAAAAATATCTATCAAATGCAATTGTTGTTATAAGAAATGTTGAATAGAGTACATGAGTATTTAAAAAACCATAGATTTTACAAAAAAATTCATTATGAATACCTAAAAGTAAATCAAAAAAATAATTAACTATTGTATTTTACAATTGAATTTTTTGTTTCTTGAGTTCTCTCTGTTTATGTTTTTTTGATCGTATTTAGCACAATTTTTCAGAAAACTTTATGAAAATCAATGGTTTTGTTACTATGATATAAAAGTGTATATTATAATTAGAATGTCATTTTTGAGTCATTGAATTTACAAAAAAAATAAAGAGGAACTCAGTCATGCTCTGCATTCTGACATGTTCTTTCAAAAAAAAGAAATTAAGTATATAGAATGAAGAACCATTGAGAATTAATTTCGAATTATTAAATGAGTTCTTTTTGACATTTTTTTTTTAATTAAAATATCTCTCGAAGACATCATAGCTTCAATGTATCTTGAGAATTTCATGTGATTTGAATATTCCTTTTTTAAAATAAATCATCAACATTAAACTAAGAATTTATTTAGTAGATAGGTGACCCTATCAATTGATATTTCAAAGATACGCAGTAGAATTTAAATATACATATACCATTAGATAGACAAAGTCTCTATTCAAAGGTCAAAGTCTTAAAATTGTTCCTCTATGTAATATGACTTTTAATGTTTTGTAAATTATAGATTAACTATGAAATGCTTTATTTTCTATTGACATTGAATTTTTTTTTTTGTATGATTTGACTAATTCTATAAGAAAATTTTTTATTTATAGTCTTAAAATAATTGTTGCTATCAATTAAAATATTTATTCATTGATTTCTAAATTACGTCGTTTTTATGTTTAAAAAAAGTGCACTTAAGTAGTCTTTTTGAAAAATTTCTTTTCTCGAAATACGCTATTTGATTACGCTACATTAATTACAAGCGAAAATTTTTTGAAGCCTATTATTACAAAAAAAAAGAAAGAAAGCTGGTCATTATAGTTGTTGTCACAAATATGACGAGTTTAACTAATTTGATAAAAGTCACAAGAATATATTATTTAGACAAATTTTCTAACAAATAGAAAACATATTGAAAAATATGTTTTATTATAAATTTTACCTGTTGTTGTTTGATATAATTCTAATGGAGCCAATATAAAACATATGATTAAATCAACAAAAGCTAACATTTTAATAAAAAATGTACATGCTTTATTATCATTTCGTTTTATATAAACATGAAGTACAAGAATATTTCCTGTTGTACCAAAAACAATTGTAATTATTAAAATAATCCATACACCAACAAGTATAAATAAATTTACAATATGATTATTACTAGAATTTAAATAATCAATTGATGTTTGATTTGACATATAAACTGTTGATGATAAAAATAACGATGGATGATAAAAAATTGTTCCCATAAAAATTTAAACAATTATTATTATTTTTCTTTTCGATATCTAAAGACAATTAAAAGCAAAAAAAAATAATATTGCATCTGACTTTTTCCTTTTTTTAACAATAAAAGAAAAAATAAGATATGTACTCATGTTTTGACATGAACTAATTATTTCTTCGTTTAATAATAAAAGAACAAGAAAATAAAAAAACAATTTGATCTATGATGCATTTGTACTCTATACGATGTGAAACTAGTCTTTTATATTCCTAGAGCACTGTCAATAGAATGATGTTTTATTTCTTTTCTCTATCTGTTCTTTTTTTCTGCTCAACGCTCAGTTTAATTATATTGACTAGAAGCATTTTGTTTTTCTCGCTCTTTGTCTTTCTCAGCTTGCTTATATTCAGATAGGTAGATGCTGTGCTTGTATTTTTTTTTTAAGAACACCCACATACATACAACCATGACATCGTTATCAGCATTGATTTTCTTGCTAGTTTTATATTAATAAGAATGATAACCTTAGGATAGTTATTAAGTCTAATATTGTTGTATTTTTATGAATGAATATAGTGAATAATAAAACAACTCGAGAACAAAGTGTACGTGATGAAGCATTTTTTAAGAAAAAATAAATGCAGAGTCAATTAAAATAATTGTCAATCAAAAGGAAAAAAAGAAGACAAATCTTTTTAAGAATGAATGTAAAAGACTGTCAATTTCACGCGTGTCATCTTGAATAGATTAATTTTATTTTAAGAAAACACACATACAGACATCAACGCAATTTATTTTAACATGAAGGAAAAGAACATATTTACATTTTATGAATTAGAAGTCATTTTAAATTTTTCTATTTATAAAAGATGCTTATATATATACATACATGAAAAAATACTTTATTATTCTCTTTTGTTGTTTTGTTTTTTTGTTTCTTCTAAATCCATATCGAAGGCGTTTTTATCCGTATAGTTATAATCTATATACGCCTATACAATAGAAGAGAATATAAAAAGCTCATCAATCTAAGAGAAATAAAGTAAAATATTTTATTTACACATGAATTAGCAATGTTATTCAGTTAGAAAAATTTCTAAGAGCATAGATGTATTTTTCTTAAACGAAAAATTATATACGGAAGACTGAATATTAATGTTGAAAGTAAGTGTGAAGGAATTATGCATAGATACATCTATAATAAACATATAGAAAATTGATTACTAAAAAAAAAAATCAAGAAAGATTTTATCACACACAACGGATGTTATTCTATGTATTGATTATATTATTAGTTTTGTTTTTTTTTTTCTTAATATTACTAACTTGATGGTCAATATATCATTTATTTTCCTATTATAGCTATTCAATCTTCAACAAAAAAATCATAATATTCAAGTGCTTTAATGTTCAACATGATCTTTTTATATCTAAAAATGTTCTTCTCTCTATATATATAAGATAGATGAAATAGAATAATTACAGACGCATCTTTACTTTTTATATTTGACAATATGTTCGGTTAACATCAAAACTAAAGAAAATTTATTTATATAGTTAATTGTTTATGATGCAAAAATTTTATTTAATAAAATTCAACTTTAGATTATTAATAATGTCGATTGAATAATCGAATCTAACTCTATAAATTATATTTTTTTTGTTCTTTTAAAAATAAAATAATTGCTTTTTTTTTTTATTTCTAATAAGTATATTTAGTATAAAATTAATAATTAATGAAATTTATTTTGGAAATAGAAAAAAAAACAAAAAACAAAATGTATATTCATATTACATATTTAGAATTTTCTAGAAAAGAATAATAATACAACTGATAAAATACAAAAGAAAAAGATTTTTAGCCGATTATAAGCTTAAATATAATATTTTTGTAAATCGAAGATTTACTATTTCTATTTTTTTTTTTGTCTTCGTATTTACTATAAATCTATGGACTGAGAGAATTCGAATCAAAGCTTAATTTGTTTTTGTTAATTTCACATGTGTATATTTTTCTTGCTAAATCATATACGAAAGATTTATCAATCGATATTTATCTTTTATTTATTATGTATTATCTTGAGTTTTGCATGCAGACTTTTTTTGTATGTTACTCGGACATCATTAATATATTCCGGAACGGAATATTTTACTTATATTGATAGTGATTATGATTGAAAAAGTGATCTTTAAACTTCTTGGTGTCTAATAAGATTATTAACTAACAAATCAATATGAGTTCAATTGAAGTAAAGACAATATATATTATATATTAATGTATAGACATGAACATGGTTCATAACATAATAAGAACTATTAGATATTAAATATTAACATCTTATATCAATTATTTCTATATGTATAATATCATCTCTTAGAAAGATCATTTTAGCCTTCAGAAATAACATTTTAAATGTCCTGAAACGACATATGACTGAATTAATTTTCATTATAGAATTGCCGTAATCCATTTACTCATTTTTTTTTTCTAGCAAATTACCATAATTCCTTTTCCTATTTCGCTTTCTGTACGAGTTCTTACAGAAAAATAGTGATATTATGACGTCAATTTTGTACCTTCTTATATCAATTATTATCGTTTAAAGCGTTGTTTTCATATATTATGAATTATATTCAAACTATATCAGATTGAAGAATAAAACAAAAAAGTAGATCGAAAGATTCTTTTGCTTTAAAATATAATTTTCAATAAAATTTCATTATGTAATCGATAATAAGTTCTTCTCCTAGTATATATAACATTAAATGAGCGTATATTCAAATCAAATTTTTAGTTTACTGAAGTATTGTATACTTATACGAAAGAATTTATTGAATAAATCAATAGTAAAAGATCGAAACAAAGAAATTAATATTCTGATAAGTATTGCTCTCCAAACACAAAAAAACCAGAAGAAGAAAACATTAATATAGAATGTATGAATAGTAGAAATCTATTCACATTTTATCGATGTTAATTAACAAATATGCTTTTCTATTGATATTAATTATTTAATAATCATTTATTTGAGAATTTATAAAAGATGAAAAATCTATCATATACAAAAAAAAAACAAAACGAAGTCAAGATTAATTCTATTCTTATTTTTAACAAAATGTCATACAACTTTTTTTTTTTTGAGAATATGACTTTCCTGGGATATCACATCATTCTATTTTTCATTAATTATCTTACTAGCGGCAAGTATTCAAGCAAAATGATAAACATTTTGACAAGGTGTCTAACCTTTTAGACAAAAACAAAAAGTATGAATAACAACTAATTAATGCCTTGTGTAATATCGCAACAATTTTATCTTGAGGTTTTTTTTTTAAATTGTTAAAGTAATGTCTATCATCAAAATTCAAGTGACAATATTTTGAATTGATGAAAAATTTAATGAGATCTGTTCATGAAAAAATCAAACATCTTTATATTAAAGAAAAAGGAAAAATTGATGTAAAAAAAAAAAAGGTTTAAATTTTTCTTAATGTTTCATTTTCGTGCTAAAATAAATCAAATTTATCAAAAAAAGTCTATCTCAAATTATCTTCATCCAGCCACGAAGAAAAAAAAAATATTCAATCAATAAGAACAAAGCAAAAAAAAGATCCTTGAATATTCTCTTGACTTTTTAGTTTTACTAAATAAATCGGTTTGTTTATAACCGAAAGTATTATTTTCACTTCATTATATGTTTGATTTAAAGCCATTCTATTCAAAACTATAGACATTTTACTAGAATTTCAACTGTTAGGTTGCAGAGATGTCCATCGCGGCTCAAAATCTGCCGCTCCCGTGACGCGATGGCCTGTTAAAAAAAAACTACCGCGCCGCTGCCGCGCTGGTATTCGAAAAAATGTTTTGATTTTCAAGGCTTTGACTGGTCTGAAATAGAACTGATGCCGCTAATCGATCAGATTCGCTAAGTCTTACAGTATAGCATATATAAACATGCAGATTCTGTGCAAATTCATGAATTTTTGAAATTTTTTCCTAAAAAGCTGCCGCGACGGCAAAATAAAAATCTCTCCCGCGCCGCGATAGTTTTTGGAAAAAATCTGCCGCTGCCGCGCCGCCACCGCCACGACGGCAGAGGCAGCGGCGCGATGGACATCTCTGTTAGATTGGTATATATCAACTATAGACCAAATAAAATAATATTTCGATTGATATGTACAGTTGAAAGTGAAAGAAGAGTGCTTTGTACTTTTTTTTTCAGCGCTTCATGTCAGATTTTAGCTTGCTTCTACTCTGAAAACTTTTGCTTGAATCAAATTGCAAACTTCCTTAATGATTATTCTATATTGTCTTCATCGATCCTCTTCTCATATATTTTACTCACTCCAAATGAATAATTGTCATGCACTTCAACGCTTTCAACATCGGATATCTTCAGATTCAGGATATTCTGCGAGACAATCTATAATTGATATACAAAAGAGGGAACGAATGAGTGACCCATCATTTAAAGACCCCAAAAATCTTCGCCTACTCGATTTTTGAGAAATCTGTGTGGTTCGTAAGAGAACCCATCATTGTAACTCTTCTTGCAAGTATTTTGATTCAATTGACGAAGAATTCTGATAATTCAACCACTGGTTGACAATATTTGAAGTTATTATCAAGAAAATGATAGTCTCTAAACGTTCCATCAACTTTAAGTGTTTTGTTGATTGTCTTTGAATGACATTGACTTGATCGAAAGAAAAAATGACCAACAAAAAAAAAATGTCAATCATATGAAAACGTACAAAAAAGTTTATTTTAACATTTTGAATTAGCAAAATGAAGATATTTTATTGCACACAAACCATATTGTACTTTTCGAGAAAATTTACAATATATTAAAGTGCGGTACTTTCTGAAATTGTAGTTCGAATCAAGTTTTCAAGGTATAATTCATTTGTTGTGTATGAAACATCAATTAATATTTTTTTTTTGTTTCATAGAAATCAGTGATATTTAATCTTAAAGTTCGAGGTAGTCCTTTCTTCAACATCAATCGATCTTTTAGCATA